CAGGACTTTTTTTCTATTCCCTCCATGTTAGTTTGGCAAGGGTCCGGGGCACGTTGAGGTCGTTGGCCCTCGTTTCGAATCTCGCTGGCAATGTGGGGAGAAGGCGGTGAGTAACTCCTGCGCTTGTTCTGCTTTACCCTCCGTGATGGAGCCATCGGGTCGGACGAGCGGGGGTATCTTATCGCCCATCGTGCCGCTGCCGGTTTGCAGGTACTTCGTTGCTTGCCAGATGTTAGCGTCATCGGCCAGGAAGTCGTTCCAATGCGAACTCTTCTGTCTGCGGATGGCGTCGTGGTACTCTTTGGCTGCCATCCTGGCTCGTTGTTCGAGCTCTGGTGCTGTTTTGCCCAATCCTACGTCGAGATCTCGCCAGGTTTCTCCAAAACGTGTATGTCTGGCGAAGCCGTGTCAGGTCTGTTGTCCACCACCGCTTGGCGTATGGTGAGGGCTTGGCTTTAGGTGTCAGGGCGTAGACCGCCTCGGTTACCGCTGCCATGAGCCTGTCCGTCTGCTGCTGGACATTGCCGTCCCAGGGGATGCGTTCGAGGTTTGCTGCCACCCTAGTCCTAATTTCCGTCCAGGGCGCGTTCTTGAAGAGGAACCTCGTCTCACTGGGACGGTCCTCCACCGTGGTGTCAAAATCTGTCTCGATTGCTCTGTGGTCTGAGCCATGGTCGCAGGGGTGAATCGTGCATCTGAGTAGTTGGTCTGCTAGTTCTGCAGAGGCCAGTACCAGGTCGATTGTGCTCTCAATGTCGCCTGACTGCCACGTCTTCGTGCCTCTTGGGAGGAGGCTGCAGAGGGAGTGTTCGTCCATGAGGTTGATGATGCGGTCTCCCTCGCCTTGTCTCCGTGGTGAGACATCGTCTCCTCCCCCAAAGCTGGTCGTGGCGGTTGAAATCGCCCGCCAGTATGATGTCCGTTCTCGTCCCTGTTCCGTTTCGAAACCTCTTAATCATTAGGTCAATCTCCCTCATTGCATCTTCCAGTGCTTCGTCACTACCACCCTCCACATACACTGACACCAACAGCACTGCCCGGTCTGGGCAGGGGTCTGCATCTATCTACCAAAGTAGTTTCGGAATCTACTAGTAGATAGAAAGCAGTGCTTTCTATCCACTCTACTTGGCCGGCTGCCAAGCTTCTATCCACTCTACCAGACCCTCATCTACGTAGATTTAAAGTGGGTAGATTGCCAAGTGATTACTAATATTTCAGCGACATACCCTTTCGAGCCCGCCTCAAGCACGCCCCAGCCACCACCGCCCAGAGCGGTACATATTCCGGCTTTTCCGCACTCTTTGCGCCACGTTGGCTGAGACAGCTCACGTGACTAGTCACATGTGCCCTGCCCGCATGCTTTGGCTCTGGCAACCCATCATGGAAGTTCCGGAGAAAAGAGAGCCATCATTGGATGGTTGATGTTCTGTTAGTTGATGGGGAAATAGCAGATAGCTCATAGTTCCGAGGAAATCAACAAGTTGACAGCGAACCGGTTAAACGCTCCGTGTATGCTTTAGCAACAGCTTTACTGAGCATTGGAACATCCAACACACAACGCCCCAAACCATCAATACCTTGTGATAAAGGGGTGTCAAGAAAATGCAAAATATGATCCAACCGTGATTCGAGCCCGCGGCTCTAGAGGGTCTTCCCTCGGACGTTCTGGCCTCTACATCAGCCTCTCAGGTAGTACCGTAGCGCCACACCGAGATCTTGGCCAGAAGCGCTCTAGATACCTTAGGTCAAGTCATCTTTAGTTTATCAAGCGTAGAGAATCGCGCTGAGTGTCTTTTCTGCCTCGTTGCCGTGTCCTGCGCGTGTCCTGCGCGTGTCTGCCGCTCAGCTGGTGGCGCGTGTTCGCCAGGCAAAACAAGCCGATTTTTGACGCCTCGCCCAGAGCACGATGGCTTAAGCGCCAGAGATGATTCCATGTGGGGAAAATAGTCTCTAGATGAGATTAAGATGATTGATGTATGTTTCAATTCGGTCGAACCACTTTTGGGAGTGAGTTGTCTAGATGATGTATGTAATGGTCTACGATAATTAAAATCTTGATATAAACTTGTCCGTCTCCTGGTCTAAATTGACCTGAATCACTCGACGCGTCCCGGAGGAGACCATATTATACATCCTGCTAATATAAATTTTGCTGAATTTAATGATACTATTAGCTTCACTGTATCCCGACTTGTCGGAGAGTTCTTGCCAAAAGATTAGTCTCTAGATAATGGTTGCTTGGAAGGACTGACAGGAGGTTTACCCCGCGATAGGCGGGGTAATCGGTACACAGCAAACTTTCGTTACAAAGCAACTCCGTCACTAACAATTTTGAAGTCGAGGTCCTTCGATCCTAACAAGACCATTTCAATTTATTGCTCAGCAACGAATCGTGTCACCGGCGTCGGTTTGCCTTCATTCAGTTTGCAAAATTCAGGCGAGTCGAGCGCGAGCATTTTCCATGATAGTAGCTACTGAATCGCAGTCCTGATATGATGAGACTTAATGGTACGCCTCCTGCCGGTTTTCGAGCTGCTAATTGTGGGTTTCAACTTGTACTACCGCGGTCTCCAGTAACAGCAATCTCCCAAGAATCCTACCGCTCATGGACATTGACAGGGCTTCGTGAAGACGCGTTTGACCGCGTATACTTGCAAGCCAGTGAGCGTCAGCCAAAATCTACAATATAGAA